AGGTGGGACGCGCAAGATAGCGTGAATGATAAAATGCACAAAACAGTGCGATACGCTAAACAGTGCGATTGATTTGAAATGCACAAGATAGTGCAAATGATAAACTGCACAAAATAGTGCGATTGAGGTGCGCAAAATAGCGCGAATGTAAACTGCACAAAACAGTGCGATTGAGGTGCACAAAATAGCGTGAATGATAAACTGCACAGAACAGTGCGATTGTGGTGCGCAAAATAGCGCGAGTGATAAACTGCATAAAACAGTGCGATGGCGGTGAGCAAAATAGCGCGAATGATAAACTGCACAAAACAGTGCGATTGCGGTGCGCAAAATAGCGCGAATGATAAACTGCACAAAACAGTGCGATTGCGGTGCGCAAAATAGCGTGAATGATAAACTGTACAAAACAGTGCGGTACGCTAAACAGCGCGAGTGATTAGAAATGCACAAAATAGTGCGGTACGCTAAACAGCGCGATTGATTTGAAATGCACAAGACAGTGCGATTGAGATACAACCACAAGATGCACAAGATAGTGCAAGTGAGATACAAAGTGTAAGTGCACAAGACAGTGCGAGTGAGATAAAATGCACAAGAAAGTGCGATACGCTAAACAGCGCGAGTGATTTGAAATGCACAAGACAGTGCGATAAAATGCATCTTCTATGCAAGTATGGGGGCATTTTCCATGCAGAAGATACAGGCATTTTCTATGCAAGTATGAAAGCACATTCTATGCAATATTGAAAGCAAGCATATTCTATGCATGAATCATAATGATGCGCGGCACGCATGCCACAACAATGTATATGAAAGTTCACATTCTATGCAGTAGAGGAGCATCAAATATGTACTCTGGTGCCTCTGATTTACCTCTTAGAGGACTTTGCAACACACTTAGCTCAAAAAGGGCACACCCTGTTCATATTGGCGAGAGATAACATCTGCTGCTGCTTTAATTGCCATTTTGACTTAAAGCATGCTTAAGCTTGGAGTAGAGGCACACTCATTCTTCGGAGCATTGACAAGGCCTGAAGAGGTACATATGGAATGCAATCTCAGAATTTTCTGAAGGTGAAACACACTCAGATGCTCAAAATTTTCCCTCTTTTCTTTTGCTTTGCAGTCCACAACTTATATAGCTTCAGACAGGTCCTTGTTTTACTGTTCACACTTATTGGGGGTGGACCCTGCAGTTTTATGAAAGAACAAATCTTGTTTTGCACAAATGTGGAGAATGGCACAGCACTCTGAGCACAAGATGATTTTTTGAAATTGAGAAATGAGTTCTCGATCGAGTATTGAGCCTATAACTAAACACAGCGAAAAAGACTCAATAATGGAAAAAAAAAAGATAAACAACCTAAACACATCGAGACACACTCGGACTGACTCAAAGCAAGAATCGAGACAAAACAAAAGACACAATACTCAGACGTGTTACAAAGACGAGAGACCTCTCAGTACGCGAGAAGCCAGTTTCTCCGGGTATTATTTCCCACCCTTTTCTTATTTGTGATTCTCACATCACTCGGCCCTCAGGCGCTGTTTTTTCTGAAAAAGCCCTTTCCTCACTTTTTCTCTCAGCGCACATCTCTCTATTCTTCAATCTCTCATTTTTTATCCCTCCCCTGGGTGGTTGATGGATAAACAGAAAGTTGTGGGCTCTTGCCCCTAGCATTCCACTAGATTCTTCTCTTTCTACACGCGGCTAGTGAGTTTCTCCCATAGAGGGGCTGTGCTACAACTGGGTGTGTAGCAAATCTGCAACTAACATTGGTTGACGATGCTCTGCTGGGGAGTTTGGACATGATCAGATCTGTCCATATGAGGGAGTGGAATATCTTGACCCATTCCAGTTCGTGCTTCGTACATGGCTTGATACCTCGTTGCTCGGAGGTTGAGAGAGCTTTCAGCCCTTTTGCTGTTAACTTCAGTTGTGCCATTTTCTGGCAGGTAGAGTGCCCTTCTTGGCAACTATTGTGGCAATGGGAAAAAGACAGAACACCTGACTCGACTGTGCCCCTAGTTCATCATTTTGACCATTTTTTTTTTGTTTTTTGGCTTTCTACTAAGACAATTTTGACCAAAATGAGAGTTCGATTAACATGCTTGTTCAATTTTCTGATTTAAAATCATGAAAGTCAGGTTATGAGCACTGAAAATTTTTCTTTTTTGGGTCCAAGAAATGGTCCAGTTTTGGAAAAATGGAATAATTTTTGAGAGAAAATTAGTCAACCTCATTAAAAATTCTCAAAAATTATTTTTGCAAACGGCCACTGCTCAACGGGCACGGAACCCGCTCTTGAGATGCACAACTTCAGATCCAAAGGAAAATTGCCCGTGCTTGAAGAGAGTTGAATGGCAACGGAAAGTTGCCCCTTGTTTGGATAGCACCGCGGCGCATTGTAGTTAGTCCTCAGAGTGACGAACACAACCAAATTTTAGGATTCAGAGAAAGCAAAGGTGATCAAAACCATTACATGGACACAGTGTTTTACGAATGGACTTCAAAATGAAGTTGCCTACATATCCCAAAGATGAGAATCAAGCCTCACGTAGTTCGGGGTTAAGGTACACTCGGGTATTAACCTCTCCTTTTGCGCTCTAACTTTTTCCAAGGCCGCCCTTTGCGGGTTTTCAACCTTGCGAGCTATGTTTTTCTTCTTTTCAATTTTTGTGTTCTTTTCTTTCTTTTCATTTCTTTTTTGATTTTCTTTTTTTGTTCTTTTCTTTGCATCTTTCTTTTTTGTTCTTTGGTTCTTTTCTCTTTTTTTGTTCTTTTTGTTCTTTTCTTGCTCTAACTTTTGCCTGGGCCGCCCTTCCAGGTTTTCGGCCCAGCGAGCCTCTCAAGGGTTAAAAGTATAGCTTGGTCCATGTCAAATGGTTCTAAGATCTCGAATTCGTCTGAATCCAAGAGAGTGGCCGCTGTTCGCTGACGATGTAGGAGTCCATCCAACGGGGGCTGAATTTGCCCCTAGTGTTGTGGATAGGAGCTTGGTTGTCCTTCAGCAATGTCTTATTCTTTCCTCCCTTCTGGGGTTTGGCATTCTTGTCGATCTTCGTTGATTTGTGGAACGATCCGTCTTCGGCTCTTCGAGCACAATCTGGCATCTTTCGCCCCTAGTTCGAGTGGTGCTTCTGATCTAGCTTTGCAAGCTTCTTTTGACGACATCTGATCTTCTTGATCTGATTTCCCTGCCGTTAATATATGGGCTGCTTCGACTCTGGCCACTCAGGCCTCACATTGTAGTTGACCGTTGAACGTTCTGAATTCAAGTTCAAGGTTTTGAAAGCAGAGGGGTCGAGTCTCGAGGCTAAGAGCGATCCTAAGGTGCACAATCTCAAGAGCGATTCCACACAGGTCTTCGCAGGATCACGCAAAACATTTTTTGAAATCTTTTAAGAAAGCGACCAGTCGCTCGTGCTGAAGACAGTGTAGAACCAATCTGGATCAAGCTAGGATCCTTCCCAGTACTCACACTAACAAGCATAATCTCAATCATTAAGGGCTTAGCATGCCTCTCTTTCTCTCAATTTGATCAAAGTTTTGCAAATCCCGAGGAATTCCTTCCTCTTTATTTTCATCACAATGTTCAAAAGGTTTTGAAAAACTTAGGTCAATGCAATGATCTTCAAAGCACAGTAAAGCAGGTGAAAAGCACTGTCGTTTCATTCAGAACTTCTGGCACAACTGGCACAAGGCAGAAGCGAACACAAGAATGTGAATATCACTGCTGTTCATTCAAATCTGTTGGCATTACTGGCTCCAAGACAGAAACAGACTCAAAAGAAAGCAAAACGACAAACACAAAACAAAACAGTGATGCCCGAGGTAACATCCCCGGAATCACCTGGCTCTAACAAAACAAGACTGACTCGGTACAACAAGACAGACCCAACTGACTCAGTAAGAAAAGACTGACTCTGTACAAAACAACAAGACTGACCCAATACCCAAGTCAGACAGTACAAATTAACAACATTCGCAAATGTTCTCAAAACAGTGCATGCCATTCCTACGTCTGGAGTTAATCGAGCGCCACCCACAGTTGGTTCATCCCCTGATCACATTATCCCCCAAGTTCACCGATCTAGTGCCGATAGACTTTGCAGGACCTGACGCGAAGATGACCTTTTTATCAATCAGATCTTGTATTTCATGGTGAAGACGAAGACACATGTCAGTGTCATGGCTGGCTTGTTGATGAAAGACACAGTACTTCGCCGGGTTGTGGGAGAGAGGAAGTTTATTCAGTAATGGCCGCAGCTCCAGGGGCTTCAGATGCCCCTTTTCGATCAGGACCCTCAGGGCTGTTGACAGAGACATGTCCAATGGGGTGAACACCCTCTGGCCCCGAGGTGGGTATTTGGCAGGTTGTGAGCTGGTTGTGTTGGATGTATTGGCGAAAGGGTCGGTAGGTGCTGACTTTTGATGATCTCTTCCGAGTGATTTACTTCACATTGTTCATAATATAACCACAACAGTCATAACATAACTATAATGATCCGTAACTTTCACTTTAAGAGTGCAAATCATAAATTTATCATTTGTAATTTTTATTACAAAGTGGCCTAGTACGCACCACAAAAAATCATAACTTTTTACATTGCCTTTTTAAGGATGCACACCATAAATTTCTTCTATAACTTGTATTAATTAGATTAATCTATCAAAAAATACATCTTGGAGAACTATTAAGAAACAATGTTAGAAACATAAAGGAAGCATTAAGGGGAGGCGGCCATATAAGCGAAGTAGATGCAATCTAACAGAATAGCTATGCAAAATAAAATGGATGCTTGTCATAGTATTGTGGAAGAGGAAGGTCACTAAGGCCTCGTTTGGGATGCTATCTTTTTAATCAATTAGCCAAAAAGTTACTAAATTAGCCAATTAGCCAATTAATCATACTAAAAAGTCAACAATTACGGTTTCTCTCTACTTTTTGCACAGCTTTTCGTAATTAGTCAAAAAGTCATCCCAAACATACAAGTTTTTTTTGCCTACCTTTTTAGCCAATTAGCCAAAAAATTACTAAATTAGCCTGTTCCCAAACGAGGCCTTAGTCAAAGCTGACTTACCTATATGAAAAGAACCAAAGAGCTGTGTGGTTATCCTTTGGATTAGCTCTACATCATCAGTAGCCATGGGAACCTGAATTTTACCAAATAAGCTTAGAACCTAGAACGCCAAGTCCAAAAACTTCTAAGAAGTGATGTAATTATCATACACATGCATCATTACCGTTATAGAGTGGCTTAGGTTCTCACAGTCTCCACAACCCATATACTTCACTGGCTCAGCGTCATTTCTTCTCTTCTTTATCTACATCACATATCGCATTGATGAGAGTACTTTTCATTCTTGCACAAGACAAAAATTAAGCAACTTTCACAGTGTGTGTTGCATGGACTCAGGCCAGGTATGGATATAGGGTGCTTGTGCGTGCCTACTGTCTAGGTGTCAGAATTCCTAAACCCTAAACCTTAGGATACAAGGATATGTACCCAAAAGTTGGGGACCAGTGTGTGAGCATCTCCTGTACATTTGAATAAATTGCATTCTGAATGATACTGCAATGAAAGATGTTAATATTAGGAATATACGTGAAATTATGAGTGACTGAGTGGGTTCCCTATCCATGTGAGAGGCATATTCTTCATCCATTGTTCAAAATTCACATATCCCAATGTCCAATTTGGGTATATTGGGGTTGGACAAATATCACGTATCCTAACCATTGTGATATCCTGTTGACGGGAACTTGTAGGGAATAGAAGAGCCCTTGAATACTGTTTTTACATAATCTAATTATGAGGAAGGCTCAATGGAATAGCATATTATTTAATTAATAATGACATTGACAATACTTAATGCAATAGTCAGATGGACAGAACCTTAAGGGTAAAACAGCGCCCTTGCACCGTACATCCCTGCAAACGCAATGAGACCTCCTTGCAAAGGTTCATGAGAAAATGCTGACACTGGAATAACAAGATATCAACACTTTCACTCAGTACAATCAGGGAGGAGAATGTCAATGTTTTTATAGTGAATTCAAGATACCAACATCTTTCAAATCGTTGAACCTCACACCCCAATTTACTTCAGCACCTACAGACTTGCTTTCCTGTAGACAAAAAGAAGCAAATGTAAGCCAATAATGGAACATGTTTTAGATATTAACACATACCAACTTAGCGATGATGCAGTTTAATCTAAAGAAGGGAAACTGCTCAAGCTGTTAGACTCTGGACTGCAGCATTTCCTTACCATCCACAGACATAAAATTATGATGTGTTGCACATCAGCAGCCATTAATTGCAGATTGATGTCGCAAAAATACATCTGAATGTATTTATACGTCTGAAAGTATTAAAATTGGCATTGGATACAAAAAAAAAATATGCTATATGATTATCTCAGTGACACCTATCTAAAAAATTTGCCTCCAACAAGAACAATTTTCACCGAAAGGCACTAGGGTGGGTTCCAATAAGCAGACATGCCAGCCTAGGGTTTTCTTGGCTTGGGTTTGCGCTAGCATCCTACCATGGCAGAGGCCTAGGGTAAGGTCGAGTCACAGTCGACTTGTGGTGCTTGACGCTGTACCCTTTAAGGGAATAAAGTTGCACCTTTACTACTACATATGGGTTTTGCTGAGATGGTAAGCGCTGATTTCTTACAATTGTGAGAGCATGCCCTTTGCGGGCAGGCGTTGGGGGGTAAGCACTGAGGTCCTACACATATATTTATTTAAAATTTCCATATATTTTTTGAATAAATATTTCATCATTTATCCTTCTAAAAAAAATATTTCATCATTTATGATATTTTGTAGTTCAAAAATACAATATGTATAAACATTATCATACAAATTTATCATTATGATAATTATAATTTGAATAATTTGGTCTCTGTACTTTAAGTATAATTTCAATTTAATTTTTATGTCTAAATTAAAGATTAAAAACAATAATTTTTAGACATTTATCACTTTAAATCTAGTTTAATTTAGTTCTTTTTTGTTTAAATTGAAGATTAAAATTAACAATTTTGAGTGACTTATTAATTTTTTAAGATGTACGAAGATAAAATTAAAAAATAAATAAATAAAAAGACCAAAACGCGCAATAAAAATGTCCAAAAATAGAATGTAAAAGACTAAGTAAAAAGGTCCAAAAATAGAATGTAGAAGACTTGCATTCGTTTACATGAAAAGGAGCTCAAAATATGACTATTTACCGTTTGGGTCGGAGCCCAGAAATGCTTGCAAGCAAGGCTTAGATATAGAGCAAGATAGGAACAAAAAAGAGGGAAAAGAAGCTTACCCTTGAAGACCAATGGACCAGCAGCTCTTGGTCAGAGAAATGGTGCTCCTAAGCTCTGAAAAACAGCTCCAAGTTTTTGGAATGGATGGTGGTGGGGTGTATATCAAAAACCGGGGGAAACGGAGGTGGTTAAGCGGTCTCGAACCGAGGCACATGGCCGTCGGCTCCGAAAAATCGGAAACCGGGCTCCAAACGGGAAAAATAGCCTACGACCACGAAACGTAACCTACGGCAACTGAGAGATGATCTACGAGACCTCTCCCTTCCTTCGGGAAGAGAAAACAGAGAAAACGGAGCCTGGTTCGCAAACCGAGGCAAGACACGAAAGAGCCCGGAAGTCCGGAGGCAAGGCTCGCAGCCGAGACTCTGAAACTTCTGAACGAGCACAATATGCACCATCACCGAGTGCTCAATCGGTGACGTCTGAGTCTTAAGGTCGGTCAAAAATGGGGTGTTTACACACATGCACCCGCACCCAACACAACATAATTTCCCCTTTTTGTCACGAATTGACAAAGGAAGCTCAAACAGCAAAAGCAAGATCATAAACCACACAAGCAATTATATGATGATGTAAATATCAGGGGCATGCAAAAAGGAAATAAGAAGCAAACAGTGCAAAGCAACATGCAAAACAACTAAAGCCAATCTCCCTTACCAAACAAATCAAAGTGTCCATGCTAACAAACTCTTGCAAAGATAAACCAAACTCCCCTTCACTAAAAACAATGAACAAGAAGAAAACGACAAAAATAATATGGTGGAGCAAGCAAGAAATCTCAAATTTGTACCTTAGAACACATAAGATTATTCAAGAAACACAATTACTTGAAAACACAATGTGCACAGTCTATAGAAGAGTCCTCATGAAAGAAAGTGATGCATTAGAAGAAAAGCATAGATCCTATGATAAGAGTGTGTGTGGGACTCTTGGAGTTCGACAAAGACTAGATTCAATCCTAGTAGTGATCTGAAAGTTGGACCTCCGACAAGAGAATCTAAGCACAACAAAGGAAAGTCAAACCACTAGGAATCAAGCGGTATTTGGTGAGTAAAAAGGGAGGCTCCCCCTCAATCAATGAATCTTTTTCTTTCTTTTTTTTCGCACATTTTTTCTTTTCTTTCTTTTGCACATCTTTTTTTTTTTCTTTTGCACATTTTTTCTTTCTTTTGCACACTTATTGGCAGCTGACACGATCAAGAGTATGGAAACCGAACAAGAGAAGCATGAATATAATAAGGATGGCTTGGTTGGTGACTCTGAGGTACCCTTTTCCTCATGGCTGTACTACAAAGAACAGAGGGGAAAGCCGTGGAGATGCAAAAAAATAGAAGATGGTTAAGAGACTCAACATCACCCATGATATGCTAGTATAAGTCAATTCCTCTAGAAACGCAAAAGATCAATGACAGAAGTCTATAGAGAAAAAATAATCACTAAGGCGGAAGACTCCAAAATTTGCTAATCCAAGAGTGTGTACAGAATGAGACATACTAATCAAAGAACACACTCCAAAATGAGTAATAACCACAGAAAGTACACACATATTAACATGTAATGGATATTCTCATCAATTCCAATATGTAACAAGGACTATACAAAAATTTCAAGTTTGCAAAACTATACTAAGAAAATCTTTTTGGTTTTTTTTTTTATTTTTTTTTAAAAAAAACAAAGCAAGTCAGAAAACGAACATGCACACATTAAATGACTTAAAAAAAAAACACACAAAAAACGAAAAACTAAAAAGAATAAACAAATTAACACAAGTCAAGTTTTCACACTCAAACCGCTTTAGTATGAACAAAGTTGTGAGAATTGCGGTTCTTGGATGGTGTCTTGACGTTGTGGTTCCCTTCCCCTTTAATGGGAACCCATCTTGACTTGGTTTCCAACTTCCTATGTCTAGGTCTAGGCAAATACAAACTCGCTCCAAGTTTGGTCTCCAGCTGATCAAAATAACAAGGTCTAATATGACCTTTAACCTCTTTACTACCAATGAAGTGTCTCCTACCCCACGAGATGTTGGAATTTCTTCCATCTCTATGAGACACTTTCCCATGCAACTTATAACGGTAAGGGCAAATATGACCATGCATACCACAATGATGACAAATAAACACAGGGTGTACAGGGTGTACCTTCTTTTCTTTGACCTTACCAACTTTAGGAAGATTGAGAAGTCTTTCCTCTCGTTGAACCTTGCGCTCCCCCGGCCCTTGAGTTCTTGTATCATGAGATGTGGATGCACTCTGCTTTCTTACCACCAAAGCCAATGCCACTTTTGTCAGAACAAATTTGTTGAGAACCAATGATATTGTCCAAAGTCTTTGATCCTTTGTTCCAAAGACCAATGGTTTCCATAGCACACTTGAGCTCTTCCTCTTTTTTGATCATTAGTTCTTCCAAAGCAACTCGAGACATCTCGAAAGTTTTAATTTTTTCTTCATATGTTGCATAGATTTGTTGTGGCTCATTCCTCTCTGTCTCACAAGTCAAGAGTTTTGCACAAATAGCTTGTCGATCATTAGAAATCTTAAGGGCATCATTCCTAGCCTCGGAAATCTCTTTCTTTAATTTGACATTCTCACTTTCACATGCTTTGAGTTTCATACTGAGTTTGTCATTCAATTTGGATAAGTTAAGAGATTCCTTATACAACTTTTCATAAGGTTACTTAAGCTCTTCATCATCATTTCCCGAGGATTCATCATCAGTGGCATTCTCAACCGGCCTCTTCGGATGCTCTGTTCGTCCTTCAGTTTCAGAAGTCGCCATGAAAGTAAGGAATTGTTTATGTCCCTCTTCACCTTGATCTTCATTGTCACTTTCATCTTTATCAGATTCTGATTCATCATCCCAAGTGATAGCGAGGGCTTTCTTCTTCCTCAACCGAATGGGGCATTCTTGAAAAAAGTGGCCAAATCCTTGGCATTCATAGCATTGGACTCTTTCAGAGTTCCCTTGTATCTTTCCTTTCTCCTTCTTGGCTATAGAATTAATTTTGAGTTTATCTTTGCCTTTGGATTTATGAGTATGAGTAGAGTCCAAAAGATTAGGATTCTTTTTCAAAAAAGATTTTTTAAATTGTTTTACAAAAGCATCCGTAATCTTGGAATCTATCTCACAATCCTCATCAGAATCTTCTCCAACTCTATGAGCACTACTAAAAGCAATATCTTTTTTGTTTCTTTTTGAAATTCTTATGTGCCTCATAAATTTGGAGATTTCCAACCAAGTGATCTAGCTTGAGGTTGTCAACATCTTGAGCCTCCTCAATAGCCGTAACTTTTGGTTGGAACCGATCGGGCAAGGATCTCAAAATTTTTCCCATAACTTTGGATTCTGGTATTTTTTCACCTAAATTGAAGCTAGAATTTACAATGTCACTCAACTTCGCATAAAATTCATCAAAGGTCTCACTATCTTTCATTGAAAGGTTTTCGAAACTAGATGTGAGCCTTTGAAGTTTTGAGCGTTTAACTGAAGGAGTGCCCTCACGAATAGTTTGTAAAATATCCCAAGCCTCTTTTGCGACTTTACAATTGCAAATTTGACTAAACTCTTCAGGTGTGACAACGCAAAATAGAGAATTGATAGCTTTACTATTCCAGCTGCTATTTTGGTAATCAATTGTGTCCCAATTATCAATTGATTTGGGGAAAGTTACTCCATCAATGGTAATTGTTGGTTCGGTCAACCAATTCACGACAGATTGCCAAACTTTTTCATCTATAGATTTCAAAAATGATCTCATCCGAGCTTTCCAAAAAGAATAATTGGATCCGTCAAGTAGGGGTAGTTGAACCATAGAATTTCCCTCACGTATTGAATCCATTATCACAAATCAAACAAGATCTCGTTCTAAAAGAATATTTTTAAAAAAAAAAATTTGAATGACCTACTCTGATACCAATTGAAAAATCTAGAAATCCCCTAGATGTTGATTTGTGATTATGTATCAATTTTAAGCAGTAAACAACAATCCCAATCAAACAATCAAGACAAATCGACACAACGATTTTACCTGAAAAAATCACAATTGGACACCTCCAATTGTGATAAAAAAAAAACCACGGGCAACAGCCAAAAAACAATCCGCTAAGAAGATATAAAGGAATTGC